CCTAGGGGAACAAGGTGACACTATCTGTACCTCACTACTTCCCTGCTTCTCTGGTACAGAGACCACCTGAGGAAGACCCCACGGGAGAAACATATGCCCAGGTGAAACCCTCCAGGCACAGGAGGGCAGAAGCTGTCCTACCTTCTGTCCTGTCAGGAGAAGTCCTGGAAACAAAAGATGGAAACAAAACAGAAGAGGGCAGAGAGATAGACACTCAGGTTGGTCCTGTCCTCCCCAGGCCTTCAGCATCCCCCAGGCCTTCAGCATCCCCCAGGCCTTCAGCATCCCCCCAAGCGAACCACATACCCTCCTCTCACTCTCTCCTGCTCCAGGCTGCTGATTCAGAGGAGCCCCAAGATGTGGTCTATGCCCAGCTGTGTAGCAGGTCGCTCAGACAGGGGACAGCTGTACCTCCCCGCTCCCAGGCAGGGGAAGCCACGGAGGAACCCAGTGTATATGCTGCCCTGGCAGTCACTCGACCAGGTTCTGTTCCCGATGACAAGGAGCAATGACCTCGCCTGCCAAGAGTTCTAACAGAGACCTCCAGAAATTCTGGGAACCCTTGCAAATCTGGCTGTACTATAACTAACATCATACATTCTAGAAATAAAATAGATTTTTTAATAATCAATTGAAATGAGAAATGAAAGAGAACAGAAGGGTTTTACACTGAGTACTAATTTTAATGACATTTCTCATCAAAGCTGTGCTACAGGCATGGTTGCACAGATCCATAATCCCAACCCCTGGGAGGCTGAGGCAGGAGATTGCCTTTGATTCGTGGCCTTCTTGGGATACCTAATGAATTTCATGCCAGCCTGGGCAAATAGAGATGTTCAAACAACATTAACCACCAAAGGCCAGAGTGGAGGTACACACCTGAAATCCTAGCACTTTGGAGGCGTGAACAGGAGGTTAAGAAGTCAAGGCCATCTTCACCTACATAGTATAGGAGTTAGCGGCCAGCCTGGAACACAGGTGACACTGTTTAAAATAAATAAATAGGCCAGGCATGGTGGTGCACGCCTTCAATCTCAGCACTGAGGAGGTAGAAACGGGCAGGTCTCTTTGAGTACAAGGCCAACTGGTCTATAGTGAGTTCTATGTAGCCAGGGCAGCATACAGACATCTTGTCTCAAAGAATAAACAATAAAATAGGGCCAGTGAGATGGCTGAGCAGTAAACGTACTTTTTCAAGCCTGATATTCTAAATACAAACAGCAGGAATAGGGGAGGAAGAAAACTGACGCCCACGAATTGTTCTCCGACCTCCACCTAAGTCTTTAGTGTCCTCCCTGTTAAGTATTTTTCCTGGCCAACAAACCTCTCCGCCGACACAAATAATCCCAATCAGACCAAATTAAAAAATGCCCAGGATTAATGGATGGCAATACTCCCAGGTAGCCCCGGGAAAATATGGAGATGGGAAGAGAGAGAAGTGGAGACCACAGGAACCGGTAGACCACGTGTTCAGTCCTGGGGGGGGAGGGGCAGGGAGCAGTTTAAATAGCCTGTGGGAGTGGTCTTGACCTTCCCTGGGGAGGGGTTACCCTTTGGCAGGCTTTCTTGACCCTCCTTGGGGAGGGTCACCGTTTGGTGGGATTTCTTGGCGGTGGAGTTTGGACTGAGGCAACTCACAGGGGAGGGAGCTTATGCCAGGAGCTGAGGTGAAGCCCCCAGCTAAATACTCCCCACACCCAAGAAGTAAATAAAACAATTTTGAAAATAAACTAATAATCACAAATGAAAGCTGGGTATGGTGTGGTAGGCCTGTAATCCCAACAGGGTTGCCTCAAACATGCTATCCTTCTGCCTCTGTTCCTGGCATGTACAACCATACATTCATTTTATTTTTAAAGGTTTATTTGTTTTATTTATGCGTACATATATGCATCTGTGTGCTCTTATGCCATGTGTGTATGGACATAGAGCCGGAGTTATAGGTGTTTGTGAGCTGCATGCTGTGGGTGCTGGGAGTGAACTCAGGTCCACAGCAAGAGCAGTGCGTGCCCTTAACCACAGAGCCATCTTTCCAGCCTC